GGAGCAGGCAGGTGCTAGACACTCTCTCAAACTGGGTGCCCAGGTGCATCTCGAAGTCTCATTCTCTATCCATCCAACGCTTAGCCTTCTTGGGGCCAGAGATGCCCCATCCTGCCTTCCCCATCTCCCATCCTGGCTCCAGCTTCCCTCCACTTGCAAGTAGGCCCAGCCAGTACATCTGGAATTTGGCCTTTGACCCTCCTCCTCCTGCTTCCCTTGCCTGCCCACCCCCCACCATCCCTTACCCCCACTGAAGCTGGAGTCCTGACCTCTGATCTGACCCACCCACTTGCCAGACGGCCTGCAGCCTCCCCTTAGACGCCCCAGCACTGGCCATTGCCCGAATCATGACTGGGCTAGCCACACCCTTGGACCAGGCTCAGGACCGCCCCTAACTAGCCTCCTGAGGCTGCCTCCCCCAGCCCGGCCCGCCCTACTGCCTGGGTCTCCAGCCAGCAACCTCCCCTTTCCCAGACGATTGCAACAGCCTCCTAACTGGTCCCTGGCCTCCAGTCCCCCTCCACCCACCACACACTAGCCACGAAGATTCCTCTTCATGCCCCTCTTCCCCATGGCCTCCATGATGGAGGCCCAGCCTTTCAGGGGCAACTTCAATGCCTCCTAAGCCAGACCTCTACTCCCTTTCTGATATTCTGTCTCCACTCCTCACTGTCCCTCTCGACATCCCTCACCCCAGGCCCAGTGAAGTCCTTTGTATTCTTTAAACCCTTCCAGAGCTCTCCCACCTGAGTACCTTTGTCTAGGCTGTGCCTTCTTCCTGCTACAACTTCCTCCCATCTTCATTTCTTGATGTCATTCCTGACTCTCAGACTCTGCTCAGATGACACCTCGGGCTGCTAGAGACAAAAAGAGAACTGGAATAAGAATCAGGAGACTTGGTGGTAGTCCCAGCCTGCTACCAAGTGGCTCTGAGACGCTGTGTGCCTCAGTTTCCCATCTGCAAAAAGGCTTGCTGATCACCAGGGATCTCCCAGGTTTAAGATGGTCTGTCTTCATGGGGAAGGCCAGGGAATGTGGGGAGCAAGTGGGCTTTGGCTCCAGGCAGAATTGCAGCTCCCCCACTGTGTCGTCCTGAATCAGGTTCTTCACTTATCAGAGCCTCATTTGTTCATTCATTCATTCATTCAACAAACCTTTCCTGAGCAGCATCTATGGGCCAGAAGCCTTCTGGCTCTGGGGATGCAGCAGGGAACAAGACAAGGACTCTGCTCTCATGGAGCTCACAGTCTCCAAGGGCAACAGTTCTCCAACAGGAGTGATGTTGCCACCAGGGGACATGACATTTAGCAATGTCTGGAGACATTTTTGATTGTCCCAACTGGAGGGATGCTACTGGTATCTAGGCAGAAACCAGGGATATTGCTAAACATCTCACAAGGCACAACACAGTCCCTATAACAATTATCCAGGCTTGAATGTCAATAAAGCCAAGGTTTGGGGCCGGCCCGGTGGCGCACTGCTACAGTGCGCCGCTTGGGAGTGTGGCGGCGCTCCCGCCGAGGGTTCGGATCCCACATACAGACCGGTTCCCGCTCACTGGCTGAGCGAGGTGTGGGCGCAACACTGAGGGTTGCGATCCCGTTGCCAGACACGAAAAAAGACAAAAAGGAAAAAAAATAAAAAAATAAAGCCAAGGTTGAGAAACCCTGGCTAGGGGGGTTCAGACCATAAGCAGATCAACAAGTAAATATACAGGGCTGGCCGATTAGGTCAGTTGGTTAGAGCGCAGTGTTATAATACCAAAGTCATGGGTTCGAATCCCCGTACTGGCCAGCTGCCAAACAAACAAAACAAAACCAAGTGAATACATACCACATCAGATAGTGACAAGTGCAGAAGGGGAACTGGAGCAAGATTTGGGGACCAGGGAGCCCCAGGGGATGTTGGAGTGGGGAAGGTGGTCAGGGGCTTTGGCACCTGAGCTGGCCTGAAGAAAATGAAGACGCAGAACATTTGCATGTTGTAGGAAGAGTGCAGGGGGACAGCCAGGGCAAAGGCCCAGAGGTAGACTGCCTGGTGAGTTTAAGGAACAGCAAGGAGACCAGGGTGGCTGCAGCAGAGGGACGGGGGCAGTGCGATGAGTAGTCTGGAGGCAGATCCCATACTCCTGGAGGCCATGACCAGGATTTTGGCCTTTCCTCTGGGTGAGATGGGGGCCTCCAAATGTTCTGAGTAGGGGGAGGTGACTGGATCTGACTTAGGTTCTTTTTTTGTGTTTTGGTTTTTTTTTTTATATCTGACTTAGGTTTTAATAGGACCCTTCTGGCAGGATGGAGAAGGCAAGAGAGAGACTGGGGGAGAGGCTATTGTAAGGATCCAGATAGGAGATGACAGTGGCATGGGCCAGGGGTGGGTGGCAAAGAAGGTGGTGAGAAGTGGTCAGATCCTGGATCTACGTTGAAAGTGAAGCCAACAGGATTTGCTGAGACATCGGACATGGGGTGTGGGAGAAAGAGAGGAGTCAAGGATGATCTCAAGGTTTTGGGTGTGAGCCAATGGAAGGATGAACTGCCCTATATTGACTGTCCTCTCCTGAGAAGGGGAATGATTCTATGTGCTTCACAGCCATTAGAGCTCAGGAGAATGAATTTCCGGGCATATAGCAAGTGCTTCATAAGCTCTGGTTCTCAGGAGACTGGCTGGGTCTGCAGGGTCAGCCTGGGCACTGTAAGGGAGTTAGCAAAGCCAGCCCTGNTGGGTGTGAGCCAATGGAAGGATGAACTGCCCTATATTGACTGTCCTCTCCTGAGAAGGGGGACGATTCTATGTGCTTCACAGCCATTAGAGCTCAGGAGAATGAATTTCCGGGCATATAGCAAGTGCTTCATAAGCTCTGGTTCTCAGGGGACTGGCTGGGTCTGCAGGGTCAGCCTGGGCACTGTAAGGGAGTTAGCAAAGCCAGCCCTGGTCCCCACCCCCCACCCAGATTTGCTCAGACAACTAAGGAACATTTGCCTCATGTTCGGCAGCTGAGAAAGCATATTTGCAAACACCGAGTGCTGTGATACAATAGCCCTGCTGAGCTAAAAGGCCCAGACTCATGACCCCCACACTGTAGATTAGAAAGATGGGGGCTCAGAGAGGGTCGGTGACTTCCCTGCCGTCACACAGCAGATCAGTGGCAGAGTGGGAAGCTGGACCAGGCAGCGCACCTCCCCACCCCCAGCTCAAAATTCTACTAAGAGTTCAGGGGGTGTGCATGGGTTAATTCGCTAACCAGCTCCCCAGGGGCCAACCTGGGTGACAGGCTCAGTGCACATGCTTCCAGAGGCCTCCAGGACGCACAGGAAGAGGACCCTGGCCAGGCCCATGCAGCAGGCCCTGGGGGCAGGGAGGACTCCACACACTGATGCCTGTGTCACATACACGTGTATGTGTCATTGTGTGTCCCATGCCCATACAAGGCCTTGCATGGGTCCCCTCACAGCCAGCCCTGCTCACCCTGAGTGCAGCCCGGCCCCCGCCCAGCCCCCTAAGCCTTGCACCCTGCCCTCCTGCAGCAGGAGCCCAGAGAGGCATTTCCTGTTTGGGGTCTGCCTCCTCCCCCTCCAAGCCCAGGTTCCCAGGGCCCCAGGCTGAGCAGGGGTGAATTAAGAGCAGCCCTACGGGCCCCTTCCCCCAGCCCATGCTGGCCCAGCTGGAGCCAGAAAGCTGGGGGTGGAGGCCTGAGGCAGGGGCATAGTAAATAAATGAGGGCTGGAGGATGTCCATGCCTGGGTGACCAAGGTGGTTTCCATTCAGGGCTCACACACGAATGGGAGGGACTTTGTGTGTTAGGCCATGTAGAATGCCACACCATTTTTGTATGTGCACCTATAGGGTTCAGCATGTCAGAATGTGTGCAGTTCTGGGAAGGGGGTTTGCAGATCCCTGGGGGGTCTCCAGTGAGGTGAAGGGACAAACAGAGTGTCCAAGAGTGTGGTCCTGCGTGGGGTGCGGGGAGAGGCGCCTGCACACATGTGTGATG